ACTTCTTGGACTTGGCTCATAACCGGAGTGGGCACTTTGGTTTTGAGAAAACATACGGAAGTATGCTGCAAAAGTTTGTATGGCCTGGAATGAAAGGAATGTCACGAACATTTGCGGCTGAGTGTGAAGTCTGTCAACGCATCAAACCGTCTCGGCAGAAGCCCTATGGGCTGCTGCATCCTCTTCTTATTCCTGATGACCCGGGTGAGTCTTTTCCCATCGACTTCACGGATATGGGGAAGAAGAGCAGAAATTGATATTCACAAGTGATGGTGATCATTGATCGTTTTTCAAAGTTTTGAAATATGATTCCATTACCACCTCACACCCCAACTGACCTTGTGATCAAGGAATTCCACAAACGGTGCATTCTGCAGTGTGGGCCCCCGAAAACTCTGGTGAGTGACCGGGACACCAGGTTCATAAGTGCAGATTGGAAGGACTTCACCTCCCAGATCGACGACATCAAACTCAAGATGAGGTATGGCCGACATCCCGAAGCCAATGGACTAGCTGAGGAGGTTAACCAGATTGTGATCCAACTTCTTAGAGCTCTAATTGTGCCTGATCAGAACTCTTGGGATGAGGAATCGCCGATTGTGCAGGGATTGTATAACAACTCCATACACTCCTCCACCGGGACGACACCTAATCAGTTGCACCTTGGTTGGCAGATTCGCAATCCCCTATCCTATATGTTTCCTGACCAGCCACCTGGCCTGACAACTGGCCAGCAAGACTACAACGCTAAGTTTGATCATTTGCTCAAAGTTGTTGTCGCAGCCATGGAAAAGCGACACAGTGTCATGATTAAGCATGCAAATAAAAAGCGCCAGCCTGATCCTTTCACAGTGGGAAGTTATGTCTGGTCAAGATGTCTGAGTTTTCTGAAGAAGAAAGTGTATCACGGAAGCTTCTTCCTCAGTACCACGGTTCGTGGAAGGTGCTGAACCGAGTAGGAGATGATTCCTTTGGTCCTTCTTGCACGATCGATGTGCCTACTCATCTGCGCACGTACCCAGTCTTTCATGCATCAAAGTTGTTTCCGTATGAACCACCTGAGACTTTTCCGTATCGAGAATCGATGATTCCTCGTGCAATCAATGGCGGTCACGAGGTTGATAGAATTGTCGAGCACAGTGGAAAGGGAAGAAACAGACAGTACAAAGTCCATTTTTTGTACCACCCGTTGGATGACTTATACTGGATCGCTAAGAAAGACTTGTTGCAGAGTGGCCCGCGTGTAGTCAACGCATATGAACGACTGATTAGTTTTGAACAGCAGCCTAAATTCACTGCTACCCTCACTCCTACGGAACATACTCGATCTCTCTATGCTATTTACACTTATGATGCATTATGCAAGGACTCTGATTGAGTTACTCGCTCGAAGGGACCTCACTCTTGAGGGAGGGGTAGTGTAATGACCCGCCATAAAATAGACTGAGAACACTGCTGATTTTTGAAGTTCTGCCGATGGAATGGATGCCTTGCGGACATTCCCGCATTCTGCTGTGTTTTCTAAGTCTGTATGTGTGTGTGCCTGTGGACTTGCGTGCCTGTCTGAGTGTTTGTCGGGATGAGTGTGCTTGTGGCCGTGGCATTGAGGGTTGCAACGGTGAAAACACTCAAGTAGCGGAGCCAGGGGCCTGCGATGCTTAGAGCAGCGGAAAAACACTCAAGGACTAGCAGGTAGTGTAGGTCGGTACCGCACCCAGTAGCAGTAGATGTGCCGGGCACTCGAGGCCGAGCAGAAGAAGACAAAGTTGGCATTTTTAGAGCCCAGTAGCGGTAGGCTAGGTCTAGGCCAGTACCAGTCCATCCAGTCTGAGCTTAGAGCCTGTACGGGCAATATTAGAGTCTGCAATGATGTTTCCCTCCGAAAGGGAGGAGGTACCGGTTGCTTGGGAGGCCGAGCGGCCTAGAAGTCACCGCCCAGGAGGCAAGCAAGCCGCTATATCAAGAGGCCAAGGCAAGAGCTCGGCCTCATTCTTCAGTGTGCAAGTTTGGCGACACGCTGCTGGAGCGCTGGCTGGAGTGGCGCTGGGTACTACAGCACTGCTGGGAGGAAGAAGTCGGGAGCTTCCACCTTGGCTATGGTGGAGCTCTACAAGTAGGAGGAGGAGGGAGAAGGGGACCAAGGAGGAGAGTGGTGGGGTACTTACCTGGCTATGGCAGACACCATCTTCATCACCTTGTTAGGCGCTGCATCTGAAAGGCCCCAGTGGGGGTAGTGCCACATCAAGGAAGCTCGGGGCAGAGTCAGGCATGACGGTTGAGTGGGGCAGCGATATAGCTGCATGGTGTTGACCTTCAATGGGACAGAAGGGCAGCGATATAGCTGCTTTGGGTTGTCCTTTGGACAGGAGGGAGAGCCCTCAGTCAGGCTCAGTGCTCCGCCATAGCCTCGACCTGTATGTAGAGGAAGAGGAAGGGTGGCCATGGCTATGGTGGACCTCATGTTGTGCCTGCAGTAGAAGTGGGATTCGAACATTGATTCTGGTTCAGTCATTCAACATTATTATTGTTATCTCTTGTTTGAAGAAGAGGGGAGGAGATAAGGAGGAAGAGATTGGTTGGCAAAGAATAAGAGCCTTGTCATTGGTCTATGCTGGAGTACATCATCTCCTTCTTCTTTCTTACTTCTTCTTCTTCTTCTTCTTTCCCTCTCTCTCCTCTCAAGTCCATTCATTTCTTTTTAAAATTGGACGACATTGTACTTTCAGATGAATGTATACTTCGAAATTGGCCAGGATCGTAACAACTGGGAAAAGTTGGCAAGTACAGGGATATTTTGCAAGAGCGAACGGCACCCAGTAGGGGTATTGTGCAAAGATGGGGGGTCCAACCGATGGCAGGGGTATTTCGCAAAATACTTTTTTTGTCAGAGTGGCATTCCACTTTGCCCACATCTTTTAGGGGCATTTTGGCATATATCACAACTTATAGGGCTATTTTGCAAATTATCTCATAGTAGTAACAAGGGGATGCCCGCCGCAGATGCGGCGGGGACCATGAGGGTGGGACTAAGAGCAGGGGGGAAAAAAAAAAACAAAACACATTGGAATGCATCTTCCCATGTTGTAGTGGAAGATTCGTTCCGATTTTGTTCTGGTGCGTTGCTCCAATCGATGGAAAATTGTCTCTCTCTATCTTTCTCTCTCTCTCTCTCTAGTAACCCCCACCTCTCTCTGTCTCTCACACACACGCACACAACCGCGACCTCGCTCGTTGTTGACATGTCACGGCACCGATCCAGAGCATCACAACACACGTGGTGGATCGCGCAGAAGAAAAAAGATTAAAAAAAAAAACGAAAATAAAACTATTGAAAAGATATATTACCAAACTCCTATTCCACAATCACCTCAGCTCCCTAAGGCGAACAAACTGAACTATTTAAGGGCATTTTTTAACACCTGAAATTTCCTCCGACCTCAGTCTGCGACGATTCGGTCGAAAAAGTGGAAGTGTGTGTGAGAGCATATTCCAAGCTGATGAACTACGGTCGACTCTATCTTTCTTCTGACTGCACTAAACTGGGCTCAAAGTGAAAAGTTGAAACCAAATCACCTGAGACTCTGAGACTTCTGCTAAAAAGCACAAAGACTCTGCTCTCCCAATCGTCAGCGCACGCATCTCCGCCTCACCCCCCTGTCACAGAGCATATGAGCACCACATTACCGTATCATTGTCTCTTCTCACGTGGCAAGCTAGCCAGTCCCTGGAAAGGGAACCAACGAACTATTCCCTTTTCAACGTCGCCGGTCTTCGGGTTGCGCCCACCCCGCATCTCGACTTCCCCCTCTCCATCCCAACCCTCCGACCCTCTCTCCTCTATCCCCATCCCGACTCTGACTTCGACTTTCCCTTACGTCGTCTGTCTTCCAACCCGAATCCAGACTCCCCCCCACATCCCGACTTCCCCCTCCCCATCCCGACCCCTCCCACCCTCCCTACTATGAATCCCCCGGCTCCCTATCGTTGCCCCCTTTGCCCATCCCGACTTCCATCCCGGCTCGCGAATTCCCCTTCCCCTATCCCAATGTCGTCGGCCTTTGGGTACTTCCCCCTCCCCATCCCGACCCTCCGACCCTCGACTTTCCCTTCCCCTATCCGAACGCCGTTCGTCTTCTAACGCGAATCCAGACTCCTCCCCACATCCTGACTTCCCCCTCCCCATCCCGACCCTGCGACCCTCTCTCCCCATCCCGGCCCCCCCCTTCCCTATCCTGACCTCCGGACCTGTCCCCTTTGCCCATCCCGACTTCCACCCCGATTCGCGACTTCCCCTTCCCCTATCCCAACATCGTCGGTCTTCCCCCCCCGCATCCCGACTTACATTTGGGGACACTGGGTACGAGTCCGTATCCGATTTGCAGATCAAGACTTGACCTTGGTCTCCATGTATGCACCTTCTGTACCAGGCGAGCGGCGCTCCTTCTTCTCAGACCTGCCCAATGTCATTCCATAAGATGATAACATGATCCTGGCCGGTGACCTAAATACAACTCTGCAGCCAGGGCTGGACTCGCCCGATGCGGGCCCAAGAAGATCAGACGCAACAGTACTGCTAAAGTATATGGAGTCACGGGGCTTAGTGGACACTTTCAGACACTTGTACCCGGACCTCCCGGGTTACACTTGGACGGTGGCACAACGCCAAGAGAACCACTTCACCCCCAGAAGGCGGCTTGATCTGGTCCTTGCAAAAGGACAGCCCTGGGAGGCGGTGTGGGACGTGGAGGTCATCCCAGACCCCCTTTCAGACCATGCTCCACTGTACACAGAGTTTAAACTGAGTAGCGACATCAAGAAGGAACCGTCCTTCTTCAGATTGAATACGGAGCACTTAAAGAACCAGGCAGTTCTGCACTGGTGTACACGGCACTGGGCAGATTGGGAGAACACTAAGGGGTGGTTTGAGAAGGAAGAAGAGTGGGTGCAGTTAGGTTTCAGGATGGTCACCAGCGCACTGGACGTGTTCTCACGCATTCTGACCAGGGAACAACACAGGGAAGAACAGGAGTGCAGAACAATGGTGGAGGAAGCGGAGGAACAGATGGGGAAGGATCCATACACAGACATCTACTGAGAAAGACGACGAGATCAGTGGATGAACAAATGGGAGACCCTCCAGGTAGAACAACAAGAAGCATGGGCTAAAAGAGCGCAGGAAAGGGGGATGGTGAAGGTGGATAGGATGTCGAAGGAGACCTTTCGACGGTTGTGCCCGGCCCGGTCACACGGGACCATCCGCGCACTCCTCCATCCATTCAACATGCAGGATGACCTGGCGGAAGATACGGAAACCATGGCCGTATATGCCACTACTTACTTCATCGACATTTTGACCTCGCGCCGACCCCCAGAAGAGTCGCTGGAACAACTCCGGATGGAACATGATCTATGGCAGTTCACAAACAAACAGCTGGCGATGGAACAGAGACACTCATTGGACCGACCGTTGACATTAGAGGAACTGAAAGAAGCAGCGGGCTGCATGGTCAAAGGAAAAGCCCCTGGAGACGATGGTCTTCCAGTGGAGTTCTTTTTGGCCACGTGGGAGGTGGTAGGTCCGATCCTAGTACGGCTGTTCAACAGGGTGCTAGAGGGAGCACTGTTGACGGAGGATATGTGCAGAGGGGTTATTACCCTCTTGTACACGAAGGGGGACAAGAGGAATGTGCGCAATTGGCGCCCAATTTCCTTGCTGAACGTGGCGTATAAGATCCTTGCCAAAGCGCTTTCAAGAAGCTTGACTCCTCTTCTTCCAGAGTTGGTGAACGCAGATCAAGGCGCGTTTGTAAAAGGGAGATCTATAACGGAGAATATGTTAACAGCGATGGGCGCGCTGGAGATCATTGGTAGCGAGAGGCGTCAAGTTGTGGTGGCAATGCTGGACTTGGAACAGGCATACGACCGTGTCAACTGGTCCTTTGTGTTGGCTACACTAGAACACATGAATGTTGGGTTTCCATTCAGAAGGTGGGTCTCTGTGATGTATCGATACTCCACAGCCACTGTCCTAGTGAATGGAAGGCGGTTGCCGATCTTCAGCCTGTCACGCTCCCTGCGTCAAGGGTATCCGCTGGCCCCGCTACTGTTCGTGTTGCATATTGAAGTAGCGTTAAACGCCATGTGGGCTGCTCCAATACTCAGAGGACTGAAGCTGCACGACAATAAAGAGATCCTGACAGGGGCTATCGCGGATGACTTATTGCTGGTTGCAGAAGCTATTCCGGAATCCATGAATGCAGCAAAGTGTGTTCTGGACCAATATTATTGTCTGTCCGAAGCCAAGGTCAACTGGGATAAATCCGTGTCTTTTTTACCCCAGGAATACGAGTTGGAGAATGACTGGACTATGAAGCGAATCCAGTATGGAGAGTCAGAGCGGTACCTGGGGGTACAAGTTGCTCTGACAGACTGTAGGCCAGCCCAAGATCTGATTTTGGCAGCAAGAGTCGAATCGAGAATCAGGACTTGTAGAGCGGCCACATGACTCTCACTGCTGGGAAGAGCTTCGGTGATCTCTACATCAGTGTTCTCCCTGATTTGGCATGTAGCTGCAGTAATTTTAATTTCAAGACAGACACTGCGTAGGATAAGGAGTATGGCCGCTCACTACCTGTGGAAGCCGGAGGGGGAACAAGAGGGCGGCTTTATCTCCAAGGTGGCCTGGGATAAAGTAACGCAGTCAAAGGAAGAGGGCAGGTTGAGTATTGTGGATCCAGAATGGCAGAACATAGCTTTGCTAGGGAAGTGGGTTCAGAAAGTGGCAGTGCAGGCATAGGAGAGGGGATGGCTTGAAATCATGACATTTATTCTCCAGAGAGAGTTCCATCTGAGAAGAAGCTCAGATGTGTGGGTGTGTATGCAGAATCCAGATTTCCTGAAACGCAGACCCAGATCCGCATTCGGGCTGGCCTGGTGGATTGCATGGAGGAAGCTCCGTCCCACGCAGCCTCACGAGCCACATACAAGGGAGGAGATACTTTGCCAACCCCTGTTCGACAATCCGGCGATCTCCACCGCTGGTCAAGTCTTCTTAGCAACGGACCGGCCTGGCAACTTCGGGAAGAAATGGATTGAAAGGGGGGTCTCTAGAGTAGCAGACCTGTGGGTGGAACCCGAACTGGACGGGAAATCGGAGGAAGCCATCCGTCTCTCACTAGGGCGTATCCACAGAGTGGGGGAACGACTGCAGTTGCTGATCCAAGCCATCCCAGGAGCTTGGAAGTACAAACTGTTGGCAGGTGCCAAGTTGGAAGAGGGGGCGTGGTATAAGAGAGGAGTGGACCAGGGGAAGCTGGAGGAAGTTTTCAAAGTGGAAGCGGAGGCAGAATCGGAATCGGATACAGAAGGGGACGAGGAGACAGAATGGGTAACGGTCTCTAGGTGGAAGGTGAAGGATGGACATGGGGGAGAGCAAGCACTGACCAGGGTCTCAGAAATGGAGATGAACTCGAACACAGATCTGACGGAAATCAGAGTTCTCTCGAAGTCAGGAGGCTCGGGCAGAAAAGGGATGGTCACAGTCCAAGGGGGGGCAGCCCTGCAAGATCTGAGATTGGACCCAGGCAGTTGCCTGTGGCAGGATCATCCACCATTTAAAAGGAGCTTAGTGCAATACAACACTAAGCTGGGGAGAAACCTGCAATACACAAGTGCCCTACTTGCCTCGGAGGTAAGTCAGAAGCTCACCAGGGAGTTGAACCTAACAACACCAATGCTACCTACAGAAGTTAAAAGCTTCTGGTCGCATCTATTCATCCTTCCTAGTCTTAAGCTCACTGGCCTCTTATGGCTGCTATCCCACTCCGCAGTTCCCACGGCGAAATGGCTCTCAACAAAAGGGATGGAGATCCAAGTTACCTGCAGAAGATGTGGGAACCGTAATGAGGAGACCTTGTTCCATTTGACCTGGGAATGCCCAGCTTCTAATAGGATTTGGAGATGGTGGTCAGAACATTGGCAGAAGCTGGGATCGGCCTTGCAGTGGGATCAGAACTGGGTGATCTCAGGTAGACTCCCTCCCCTGTTTTTCAAAAGCAAGGGATGGGGTTACATGGCGCAGGCCATCCGTTCGGAGGTATTGTGAGTGATTTGGGAAGATCGGAATAACATCCTGTTTCAAAACGAGTGGACGTCAGATCAGAGGATCAAAGCCAAAATCAAAGCCATCATTCGGACCATGATTGTGGCCGACTGGGTGCAGAAAGCTGACAAGGGAAGAAGTCAGAAACGAAGACAATGGTTCCTGTTTACATGGGCAAGAGGTAGTCACTTAGCAGCAGTTACCGTGGAGGGCAAGATGGTACTGTCCCCTTGGTTAAGTGGCAAATAATTAGATAGTTAGGGGGAGGAAGGAGGTATGTACCTGGCCTCTCGGTTCTCAGCTTGGAAGAAGGGGGTAGACTCCCATTGTAACAAGAGTTCATAGAGAGGCAGTAGGTCCAAGCTGAACCGTATTAGGTTTGGGGAGGCCAGTGTAGGCCTCTGAGAATGTAGGGGGGAGGGAGCCGTACAAAGTATTAAGTATAGAGGTGGGAGAATAGGAAGTGCTTAGTAAGGTAGAACAGAGACATAGGTCGGGATGGGAAGTCATAGGTCGGGTAAGGAGTAGGGGGTAAAGAAGTTGGTCCAAGGTTACAGAGTCATAAGCCAAACCGGCTGATGCTGCCAGGATAACTCCGGGTTGAATTGTGAGGTCCCCGGCCTCCTCTCCATTTGTAATGTGACATGATGAGTTAAAAAAAAAAAAAA